AGGCGGCCGTGGGTGGGGGTGGTGAAGTGCAGCTACCCCAGGAGGCCCGGGGGGTAGGGGGGGGTGTGCGGCAGGAGGCAACCCTGTGCCGACCGCGGCGCCCAGGAGCCGCCCCACTGGGGCCGAGGCGAGCCGGGAGTGGCCCCGTCACCCGGCTGCAGCCAGGGGCCACTTCGGAGGAGGAGCTCCAGCGGCCCCGCAATGGCCTGCAGCTGCCACCACGGGGAGGAGGGGGGGGTGGCAAGCGGCGCAACAGCTGCAATGCCGGCTTCAAGCACCCAGCCTCCAAGCGGCGCCGGCGCATGACCTCGGAGTGTGACCCGGTGCTGCCCTCTGAGTTCCTCCTGGGGGGCAACATATTCGACCCCCTCAACCTCAACAGCCTCCTGGATGAGGAGGTCAACCGGGCCCTCAATGCTGAGACCCCCAAATCGTCGCCGCTGCCAGCCCGGGGCCGTGACCCTGTGGAGATCCTCATCCCCCGTGACATCACAGACCCCCTAAGCCTCAATGCTGACGGCGATGCTGGGCCACTCCTGGCCTCGCCTGCCAAGGCAGGGCGCCGGCGGCACCGGCACCGGGCAGCGCAGCGGGCTGGCCACGAGGCAAAAGGGGCCACACCCCAGCCCTACGAACTCAACACAGCGATCAATTCGCGGGATGACGTGCCCCAGCTCCCATCTGCTGGCACTGGGGAGGCGATCCTGTGCCCTGCACCGCCCTCAGTTGCTGCTTCCTCCTCCTCTTCCCGTCACCACCGCAAGCGCCGCCGGACTTGCAGCAAGTCAGAGGGGGCGAAAGCGGGGGGCAAAGGCAGCCCTGAGCGAGGCCGCGGGGCCGGCAAGGGGCGGCGCCAGCAGCAGCGGCGGTTCCAGTACGGCAACTACTGCAAGTACTACGGCTACCGCAACCCAGGCTGCGAGGACACCCGTCTGCGGGTGCTCAAGGAGGAATGGTTCCGGGGCAAGGAGGTGTTGGACGTGGGCTGCAACGTGGGGCACCTGACCCTCAGCATTGCCCGGCACCTGGGCCCAGCCCGGATCGTGGGCCTGGATATCGACAGTGCACTGGTGCATTCGGCCCGCCAGAACATCCGCCACTACCTGTCCGAGGAGATGGAGCGGCCGGGCCGGGGGGCTGGGGCTGGGGAGAGTGGCCCTCTGGCTAAGCCCCCTGGCTTCCCCCTGTCGCTCATGGCCAGCCGTGGGCCCATCGCTGCCCCCCGCGTGCCTGAGGCTGGCGCCGACGCCACCACCTTCCCCAACAACGTCATCTTTGTGCGGGTAAGGGGGTGGGGCCTGAGGAAAGGGGTGGAGCTGGTGGGGGGGTCAGGCTAGGGGGTAGGGAATAGAGCGGATCTAAGGCTAAGGGGTGGGGGATAAGGAAATGGATCTAAAGCTAAGGGTTCGGGCATGAGGAAGGGATGGGTGTGAGGGGTGGGGCTAGCAAGGGGGGTGGGGCACAGATTGGATTGGCTGAAAGGAGCTTGTCTGTGCCCTGGAGGGGGGGCGAGCAGGGCAGGACTATGGCAGGAGGCTGGGAACACCCCTCCCATGAGTGAGACTTAAGAGGCGCCTCCTTCACAGGACCCCCCTCCCTCCACATGGGAGTCTCACAGATAAGGACCACCCCCACGGGGGACTTGGGATGGGTCTTTGGGGAGAAGAGACTTGGGTTGGGGCTGTTGGGAGCTGGCCTCAGCAATTCCTGCTCCCCGTCCCCCCCTGAAGCTGGGGCCAGAACCCAGGTGTCTGGGCCCCTGGGAGGCCCTTGCTCTTCTCACCAAGGCACTGACGGTGGAAGGGTCTGCAGGAAACCCGGATGCCTGGGTCCCCCACCAGGGAAGTGGAGCCCTGTCTGGTTGGGAGGGGATTGGGCTCTAGGGGCCTGGATGCCTGGGTTTTCTGGGAGGGAAATATGAGCCGAAATGGTGGGGGTTGAAGCTGGGACTCCTGGGGTCTCTGGGTGGCAAAGGTGAAGAGGGGACCCAGGCACCTGGTTTCTCTTGGGTGGGGAGGGGAGAACCTGATTCTCTTGGGTGGTGGGAGGGGGGAAGCTCAGATGCCTGGGTTCTCTGGTAGAGAAGCGCATGCTGAGATGGGGTATTGCTTGGGGACGGGTGGGGGGAGCCCAGATGCCTGGGTCCCCCTGACAGCACTCGTCCCCTGCAGGGCAACTATGTTCTGGGCCGGGACGAGCTGGTGGCAGCGCAGCGCCCCGAGTACGATGTGGTGCTGTGCCTCAGCCTCACTAAGTGGGTGCACCTCAACTGGGGTGATGAGGGCCTCAAGCGCCTCTTCAAGCGCACCTTCCGCCACTTGCGGCCTGGTGGCGTCCTGGTCCTCGAGCCCCAGCCTTGGTCCTCATATGGCAAGCGCAAGGGCCTCACGGTATGGAGTGGGGGCATGCTGGGATAGGGGTGGGGCCTAGGAGGGGCAGGGTTCAAATTCAGTCTTTGACTCTGCCCCCTCTTTTGCCACCCCACCCAGGAGACAACGTACAGAAACTACTACCGGATCCGGCTGAAGCCGGAGCAGTTCCCGGCCTACCTCACCTCACCTGAGGTTGGCTTCACCAGCTACGAGCTTGTGGCCACACCCCACAACACCTCCAAGGGTGAGCCTGGCTGCCTGGGCTCCTTCGCGGGGCTGGGGGGTGAGCTTGAAGCAGGGAACAGGGCTGGGGCCTGAACACTTGGGTTCTTTCCAGCTCATGGTGGAGAATGGGGGTTACAGCTGCTGGTTTTGGTGGGGGGGTGAGGGGACGTTCGACTGCCTGGACACCTGGTTTTGCCCTGCCCTCCTGACCCAGTCTTTTTCCCTCCCCACAGGGTTTCAGCGGCCTGTTTATCTCTTCCACAAAGCAGCTGCCCAGTGAACCGTGGCACCAGAGGGGCTTTGAGCGTGCCCGTGTGTCTCCACCCCCCTGGAACAGAACTTACTGGGTTGTGGCTGGGGGGTCTGGCTGCCCTGCCCCCCCCCACTGCTGAAGAGGAGGGATCCACCTGGTGCCAAGGCCTCAGTGACTCCTACTCCTCCCACCCCCCTAGCCTGGGGGAGGGGGGGGCTTGTGCTCAGTGGGAGGAGTTTGTGCCCCCCATTTTTAACCCTTAAAGCTCCTCTGCCTTGGGCAGCTGCCGGGAGGGAGCCTACCCATTTGGTTTTTTTGTTTGTTTTGTTCCCCCCCCACCCCCATCTTCCCCACCAGGGGCTGCCCCCTTGCTGGACTTGGACTCTGCTGGGACAAATAGATGCTCCTGCCCCACGCAGGGCAGGCTGGGACTGTGCGGGGAGGGGGATCTGTGCTCCCACACCCAGACAGAGACTGGCGGGGTGTGGGTGACTTTGAGAACTGCCGATTCTTCTATATAAAGCTCTATATGAACAACCCTGGCTGTACCCACTGCTGGGAGGAAACAAGGCTGGGGGGAGAGGGGAGGTGGGGGTGGTGCTTGTGAGGCTACTACCAAGCCTGGTGGGGAGGGAGTGTTGGGGATGGGCCTCATCCCCTGCATTGGGAGCAGGAGGGCATGTGTGCAGTAGGGTGGAGGGCATGTGGATGGAGGCTTAGGCTGTCCTGTTGTTTAGCACCCACCCCTGCCCTGAACACTATGGTACAACCCAGCCCCCCCATCTGTGTATAGACCCCCCCACCCCTTAAGTGTTGTAGTTTTCCCTAGGTGATGCGGTAGGGCCCAGTACAGTCCAATGCCCACCCCCTTGCCTCTTGTGATATGGTAGAGCTCAGCTTATCCCCCCCTTCTATGCTACAGCCTATCTTACCCCTCCCTTTGCCTTAAGCACTATAACTCCCCCCCCCACTGTGCAGGGGTACAGCCCAGCTCCCCTCCTTTGCCTTCAATGCTCTGGTCTTGTGCTTCTCTGCAGTAGTGGGGCCCGTTACCTAGGAGACACCCTACCCCCCTCAGCTGGCCTGGTCCAGTTTAGACTCCTTGCAGCCATGGGACACATTGGGAAATGTAGTCTGTGGGGACAATGGCTACTACCTATGCAATGCACCCTGGGAAATGGAGGCTGGGCCGCTCAGCCCAATGGGAAAGCGGGTGGTAGGGCTGAGAGAGCAGTGCATGCTAGGAAAAGGATAACAATGGCATGTCCCTGCAAGGCATACTGGGATAGGGCCCCTCCCCCCTGCAGCTGCAAAGGATCATTGGAGCTATACCCTACAGCAAAGCTCCACTCCCAATATTTACCCCTCCCATACCCCACCTCCACCAGCTAGGATAGCCAATAGGAGACAGCAATTTATTGAGGCGGGGGCTGCAGTGATGACAGGAGATCCCCTGTATACCCACAATCCAGCCAGTCCTGGGAAGGAGGCAGAGCTTGAGTCCCTGGCTCTGCCCCACACCTAGAGGTCCCACTGCCGGAACTTGCGGTACATGAGAAAGACAGCGCTGAGGGGCCGGATGTGGGGCTGGGGCCGTGGGAGGGGCCCCAGCCCCTCAGGGCCCAGGTGAGGGGTCTCGGTGAGCAGCTGCTGGGGCTCGAAGAACATCCGTGGGTCAGGGCCGTCGGGGGCTAGGTCCTGCTGGGAGGAGGAGGGGGCAGGAGGCAGCCACAGGAAACCAGAGCTGGCATCCCTAGGTGGCCTGGTGCTCCCCAGAGGGTGTCAACCCTGTGTCCCCCCCCCCCCCAACTAGATGTCACTCACCCTGGGTAGCTCAGGGCGGGGGCGCACGAGTGCCAGCTTCTCCTGCAGGGCCCAGTTTAGCACCTCGCCTGCTGGCACCTCCAGGTGCAACAGACCCTGGTAGAGCTGCTGCTGCCGTGGGATGTTCATGGCTGGGGGGAAGGAAAGGGGAGTGAGGCACACCAGCGGGGGGCTGTGGGTTAGGAGTAAGGGGCATGGACAAGGCTGGGGGGACAGGGGCTGTGGCTCAGGAGGGGCACTGGGGGGGCCAGGAGTCTGTGGGTTCTGAGGGGTACCAGCAGGGCTAGAGGGTGCAGCGGGTTTGGGGTTGAGAATGAGGGGCACTGAGGTGATATGGGTCAGGAGTGAGGGGCACTGGAGAGGGCAGGGAGCTGTGGGAAAGGAGTGAGGACCATTGGTTGGGCTCAGGGGGCTAGGGGTGGGAGGCTGTGGGTCAGGACTGAAGGGCAGCCCTGGGGGACTGGGGGAGCCGGCAGCCTCACCTGCACCTGCCCGCCCCTCCAGGGCACAGCGGGTGGAGAAGGACTGAGCTAGCAGCTTGTGTGCCGCATGCTGGGAGTTGAACGGCTGCTGTTTGGCTGCTCGCATCTCCTGGGCCAGAGCCAAGCTGGTGTTCAGCTCCGGGGCTGCCAGCGTGCCGGGGGCAGTGCACATTCCCATACTGCTCTGGGACACTGGCAGTGTAAGAGAAGATCCAAGGGCCTTGGGCTGCAGCTCCCCTGCCCAGTTGGGCCCCAGGCTTGGCTCGGAGCCCAGCTGGAATCGCACCTAGGAGGCAGGAGGGGTGAGCTTGGGGTCCCCTACTATCCCACAGTACTCTGGGGTAGGCAGGGAAAGCCCCTGCCCTAGGCAGACCCCTTTGCTCCCAGAATCCCCTGGGGCAGCTACACATCCATCCACAACCCAGCATGCTCTGGGGCAGCAGGAGACCAGGCAGTGTTGTACGTTCTGCTTCAGGTCCTGGGTAGGTGTCCCCTGCTACCCTGAATTCCTTACGGCAGCAAGACCCTCCTTCCCCCCCATCCCAGAATCCCCTTGGATCGCAACGGGCTCCCAAGCCTAGGATCCTGTGGCAAGACCCACCCCCAATCCCAGAATCCCCTGCAGTAGCCCGCTCCTCTATCTCGGAGTCCCCTGTGGACCCCCCCCCATCCCAAATTCTCTGCGACAAACAGGGCTCCTCAATCCCAGAGTCCCCTGGGGCAGCCATGTCCCCAATCCCAGAATCCTCTGGGCAACCACGTTTTACTGAATCCCAGAAGTCTCTGCCAACTCCCCCATCCCAGAATCCATCGGGGCAGCCAGCCCCGCACCCGTACCTGCCTGCGGGGGGCGCGTGGCCCCGCCCCCCCTGGGTGCGCGCGTAGGATCCCGCCGGGGGCCGGCGGGGCAGCAGGGGAGATATCGAGCGCCTCGAGGCTGCCCGGGAGGGGGCGGGGCCCCGGGCGGGGCGCGGGGACGATATCGTCATCGGCGGGGGGAGGCGGGGGGGGCCGCGCCAGCACGCATGAGCTGTGTAGAGGGTGAAGCCGGCGGCCGGAAGGAGCACATGCAGCTGGGTTGCCAGGACTACGGGCGGCGAACCTGGAGCAAACCACTGCTGCGGGCCGGGGGGGGGGCAACCATTTTGTCTTAGGGGTGTATCACTTCGGGCCATGGGTGGGTGGGAGGTTATGGATTGTACCATTCGGGACATGACAAAGAGGGCTGGGTTGTGCCATCATGGCCACGGCAAAAGGGGGCGAGATGTACCACTATATGATAAGTGGGAGCAGGTTGTGGACTGTACCACAGGGGACAAGGCAAGTGTGGGAGGGGTGGCAGGATGTACCACTGTGGCCACAGCAAGGGGGAAGCAGTTGGACGTGGATTGTACCATTGTGGTGATGGCAAAAGGG